CCTATCCGTGTCCCGTCCTGTCTTGCTAGCCCCACTAGGTGTGTAGTTCATTATTTTGCACATTGCTCACGTCATAGCCAGCGCTATTACATGTTTTCCCATAGTCCGCAGCGCCTCATGTTTATTTACATGTACTTCGGATCCGAAATACTCCGCCGCTACTTTCGCCTATGGGTTCCGCATTTCTACGTACTTACATATATATTGGACTGACCTCGAGCATTATTCATTATCCAAGTAGAGGGGAGCAGTTCCCCGACGCTTAGTGGTCAAACCCGATAATTCGTAGTTCTTAGTTGATATTGCGAATATCATCGCTCTTTCATTATCCGTATCAGTCATTGTTATTATCGCGCACACCGCTCGCTCTTCCGACGCTTGCTATAGCGTTACTATTAGTTTCCGACACCCCGAACCAGAACCCAATACCCCGAAACCCCGAAAACATCGGACCCGACGCTTTTGCATCGGACATCGTAATTATACCTTCGGACATTGTTTCCCGCGCTCGGACTATTGACTCCACATCACTCACTTACCCCCAAGACTATTCCCAGACCGCAGACCCCTGGGTCGAACGCACTTGTCGTCTCAAGTATAGCAGACTAGGCAGTGCAAAGACCACAACAAAAATATATCAGTTTGGAGCCATCTTCGTATAGCCCCACTCAGTATTGTTGTTTCTACAGCGTTGTATACGAAGGGGTATAGGCATGGGCGACCTCAGCGTCCCCAACTTTGAATGTCCCTATTTCAAGGGTTAATCATTCAAGGCTACGTCACTTAGCAACCACTTGAAAGTATCTCGTCTGGTCCTCCAAGAATGGCATATAGTGCTGGGAGAACTGCGCCCACTTGACCGTGACATGCTGGATTCTGTGGAAGAAAGGATTGACGTAGATGTCATGCCCTTCGTCGTGACGGAGTTGGTGAGGAGATCAGGAGTTGTAATTGTGTGAATCCCAGACATGACCATAACTTCAGCGTTCTTGTAATGGTGAACTCTGACGGTCCAATCCTGGTAACCATGATTAGTACATATCAAAAAGGTACGTCGAGATAACCTACATCATATGATACACGGTAGGACATTGTATGGCTGCAAAAGACATCTCCATCACCTTCGGCCAGGGGTATTGCAAATGTCCTTTTCATAGAAGATCCCCATCATTCAGGGCTATCTGTTGTTCCCTCTTTCTCGTGCCCCTCGATTGTCTCCCTCATATCCGCCGGCAGAGCCTTCAGCAGCTGACCAGTACTTTGTTCCCAGTGCCATGGACATGGCTTCACCGGTAAGGACAAGGTGTGTTTGTGGCTTGCGTAGTGCGCCCCTAAAATCGCCCCCAGGAGTGACGCACTGGCAGAAGAGTTCATTCCGCACGCCAAGGTGGGCAACATGGTTGTCCAGGTGATGCACCCCAGCACCTAGTGATGTTCCGGCTCGGCTTCAAGCCCCGGGCCAGGCCAAGCCGGGCCTGATTGAGCCAGGCCCAGCCCAGGCCCAGGACACGGCCTGACCAGGGCTTTGGCCCAGGCTTCAATTTTGCGAAGCCTAAGCCGCCGGCCCAAGCCGTGGCTTAGCAGTGCACTATCTATTTCGGTATGTAAGTTTCTGTTTATGTTTATGTTGCCATCTTGCGATCGGTATCAGCTTCTCAGTCAATCATACCATGAGGTATGTCAGAATGAGATCACAGTGAGTCGCCGTTGTCATGTTATTAAAGCTCGCTGATATTTACCCCGGTCTTGAAAAGCAAACATTCAGCAATCCATGCGCCTTTACAGTCTTGCCTGGCGCTTCAACTTCGCTGCCTTCGCAAACTTAATCTGTTTTTGAACCACGTTCGATTTTTTATATGTGGTACGTGTATATGTGTTGTATCTACCTAGCAGCCTGCAATGACCAGCACAGTCCACACAGATAGTGAAGATGAACCTATCGTGCATTCTCGTCCCATACGCAGGATCAAACCCACTGCTGCTCTCCTCCAACACTCGGAGAAGGCCGCCCTTCCATCCCAAACCAAAGCCATCAATGAATTCCGTGCCGCGGAGGCAGCCAAGCGTGCTTTGGAGGTTTCTGCCCAACCCAAGCCCGTGCCTCCCCCACCCACAGCTATTTCCTCGTCCAACGTGCCTCCCCCACCCTCACCTATTCCCTCATCCAACAAACGCTTGCATCCTGATGATGCCTTTGTCGACATCGAAGATGAATCTGTCGACGAAGACCACGACTCAGTCCACGAGAATGCTCGTACCAACCCTAAGCCTCGTAGAAAGAAACAGAAGGCCCCAGAGAAGTCCCCCGAGTTGGTTGATGGAGATGGGGTTCTCATCGACATTGATGTCTCTATTGCGAACCCAGGATTGTCTCGGGAAGGCAAAACTGCTGATATCGACGCATTCTTTGGAGCGACATTTTGCATACCACCAAGCCGCGGCCTAGTACGGCTCAAGCCACGGCTTTGGGCTGGCTTGGGCTCACGGCCTAGGCTTGAAATATGGCAAGCCTAAGCCCCCCCAGGCCAAGCCTAAGCCGGGGCTTTGAGCCCAAGCCGGGCCGGAACGTCACTACCAGCACCCGAGGCGAGATCTTCGACGGTTTTATACCAATTCTGGTATGTGTCATCTCCAACTTTTAAATCTACTTTGCCTGTAACTTCAGCCGTACATCAACAAAAGAACAGTTCGCGTGTATGGCTGGTTACTGCCTTTTATGGCTTACAAACCCTGGTAGATGGTTGTATGAGATTGTAGCACATATGCAAGTAGTAACAGACACGTGTAAGATGTAAAACTTGTACCGGAAGGGTACGAAGCTTGTAAAGTAACTAACAGAAGTGTGGAGGATCGTAGCATGTATGCAAGCCATAGCAGATATGGGCGAAATGTAAAGCTTGTACATGAAATGTGCGAAGCTTGTACAGTGATTAACAGAAGTGCAGAAGTATGCATCATCAAGATTGCATGTATATGTCATGCACATGTATATATACTAGCTATAGGTCTTATATACATATGGTGATTGGTCTCATCCATTATGATCCATATGCATGCATCATGTACCGATCCAAGATGTGCCGCAGTTTGACCACGAATTCGGCCGACAGCAACTTGACATGTACGTTATAATTTTTGCCAAGTCATTTACCTCATAGGACCCCGAACTCGAAGCTTGAGCTTGAAGTTCCGACTTCGAGATCCGTCCGTCTCTAAGACTTATCTCACATAAGTGCCACCCACACCGTTACCTCTTTCCCGCCGCGAGTGTTATGTTCTAGCTAATAATGTTCCCTCACCAGCTGTCGTCGCCCTCGTAAGTCCTTTTATGTTTTTCTCTTAATATCAATAGTAGTACTACTCAGAGACTCTTCCTTGCATTGCGCTGCTTACCACGCCCTACTGTGACAGCTTATGCCCTGTCGCTGCCACCTCTTACATTTTGTCGTCCCTCACTGCATCTCTTGCACCCTTTTGCGTCATTCGAGTGAGTTTATTCCCACATTTACCTGCTAGCTAGCATCTCCCGCACTCAACTCTACGGTAATTTCTTGTTTTGTTCACTCCCTAAGCTAACCAAAGCTCGTACACATGTAAGTTCTATCTTTTCTTTTTGTCTTCTAACTTTGGTAGCCTTCGGCATCCCCCGCATCCTCTGAAACCTTCCTCCACCCTTTTGCACCATCTCGCACCATCCCTGCATGCTCTCGCACGTTCTTGATCCCTCTCGTGTGCTCTCATACTGTCTAGCGCTGTCATGGGTTATTGTGTGCCTTTCACTTTCACTTTTTCCCTTGTCTCTGCTGGCTCACATCATACACATGACTACCTTTGCATCGTCACTTTCATATTCAGTACTTTCCCTTCGCATATTCGTATCTCTACTTACTACTTTACTTCCGTGCTCATTGCCTATAGCCCAGTGTACTGTAGCTACTACAGTGCAATTTGATGTGGCCATTATCGTGATCAAACAGAGCCTACAATTATTGCACAATATGGTGACAAGACTAGTAGGAGTATGTGTATAAGTTCATTACCCGCACAAGGGACTGCCAGGAAGCACAATTGTCACAACAATTGTAGTGGCATGTATCGAATTTCATCACCTAAACAAGGATCTACCGAGTGATACAAATATAACAAGGCCAGTAATAGTATGTATAAAACCTCGCTGCATGCACGGACTTATATGGAGACTGACAAACTCGACACATGTCTGTCATGTGTTTATGGGGATGGTAGCAATTTGTGCACCTTGTACTGGCTGTTACTGGCTGTCACATGGGATGTACGGTTGTTGTGTTTTTTATGATGACTACACTGTGACGTATGGGGCGCGTCGGGGGAGCGCTTAGCGAAGTGACAACCGACTGAGACTTGACATGCTTGACACACGATGCATTTGGAAATGACAATGTTTGGACCAAGTTGCCAGAACGTTCTGAATTATCTTGCGGTTGTGTTGATCAATGATGTGCCGCTCAGAGGCCAAGATGAAATGGCGGTGTTTTGATGGTTGCAAACTTGTTTCCCACCTTGTTACTGAGAGCCATTCTACTTCGGATTCAGGGCACTAATCGCTCTCTTGCCATTGGGCATCGGTCCTGTGCTATGAGGTAAGTTCCTCGCGAAATCTCAATGACGAGGCCTCATTTCCAAACTTTAGTTTATTATTGTCTCCATCCAGATGCGAGTCCTGAACTCGAAATTCAGGACGAACTGTCATATCTTCCAGCTGGACCTACAACTCCGTGTTCGAAAAAAGACGACAGTTCTATATATATAATCAGTTCAATTATATAATTGCGATTTTGCAATTGCACCTCGTCCACATGGTATCAAGTTCACCGCATGCACTTAAGCAGCCCAACGACGATACCTTTTGGTATTATTTAACGAGGTGCTAACGTCATGATCGTGACTCGCTCTAACCCACCCCAAGCCATTGCTTCTCCAGAAGAATACATCAAGTTATTCTGTTCATTCTCTGATCTATCATGTCACTCAACTCTAGTTGGACACCAGACGAACCGTCTGAAACGCTTCTCGCAGAGAAAGGCTGGTTGCAGGGCACAGTGGTCAGCGCCGTTGCATATGGCATTGGCGTCGCGCTGTTCTTCATGTGCTTCCACCTCCTTTTCCGGCAGATGAACCGCACGAACTACAAGAAACTCCTGCCTTTCCTCATATACATCACCACAACTTTTATCCTCAGCACCCTATTTATGGCAGCGCTGGCCGACTTCACGCAACTTGCATTCATTCAATATCGTAATTATCCAGGTGGTCCGAGCGCATTCGAGAATCTCAGCATTCCTATGGACAATATTACGGACGTCTGTGGTGTTCTGACGATGATTCTTTCAGATGGATTGGTCGTGAGTAGAGGTATTCGATGTTGAAAATGTTATCGCTGATATATCTGTTCAGGTTTGGCGCTGCATGGTAATTTACAGAGGGTGCATGGTGCCAATGTGGATCATCATGTTGTTCCCTTGTCTGATGTTTGCTGCATCCATCGGTCAGTCGCTTCTTTTCAATATCTATTTGATTGTATCGGACGCCGCTCACTATCGCATCTGTTAGCTATGGCTATAATGTGGCTGCTTCAAGTAACCGCCAGTACCTCGTATTTCTCCTTGACTGACATCGACTACACCATTCCATATCTCACCCTCTCACTCGCACTGAACATCATCATCACGATCGTTATCGTACTTCGTCTACTCACATATCGTCGTCGCATTTCTAAAGTTCTTGGCTCTAGCTACGGCACTCAATACACGTCGATTGCTGCGATGATAGTTGAATCCGCCGCTCTTTACTCCACGTTCTCGGTGGCATTTCTGACGCTCTTTGGTCTAAACAATGCCATCTCGGAGACTTTCCTGGTGTCGCTGACTCAGGTTCAGGTTAGCACCGTTAAACAGAGAGGCATTCACGCTGCTTATGACATGCCACAGATAATTGCAATGTTGCTCATAGTTTTCCGACTCGCGCAAGGAAAGGGTTGGTCTCAGGATACCATGTCTGAGGTCATGACCTCGAGGCCCTCAGCGCAAACAACCCGTATGGGTGATTTCGGGTACAATTTGCAGGACAGCTCCAAAACGTTCACCGGTTCCACTGGCACGGGGGCACGTACGACCTACAAGAGTAAGCACCGCGATTCAGCGGAATTGTCTGTATGAGCAAAGGTCGCTCAGTAGATACCTACTGAGATATTAGTTGTGTCCCGGGTCGAAGTAAATACATCTTGACACAAATTAGGATTTAGTATACTTGACGGTAGTATGGACCTTAGGCAGGATTCGATTAGATTGTTTGTACTCTACGCCGATTACTTTGAAAATAAGACATTCAGCCAAACCCTTGCACTGGTAGTCGTTCGAACGTTCAATAGTGAAAATAGATCAATATTGATCGCATAGAAGATGGCGTATCAGTGTCTTGACTAACACTGGTAAGGGTAAGGGCCGGCTTCATTATGGAGCTGATGCGCTCAAACTCATCATTCCGCAGATAAGTAATTGGCAATTGATGGACTGCCTTTCAGCCTCACCATCAGCTGCTGACCTTTGCCTTCTATAACGAAGTTAACTTTATGACAGCTATATCATCTCCGAGCCACGCAGCGAGTATCTTAAGCAACCTCGGATGATGGGTCCTTATGGCATGAATTATACAGGTGAGTTTCATCAGAGGACCTCGTGGTGCATACTAAAAGCAGCTCATAACTGCTTCTGTTATGTACGGCTCTGCTGCTACGGCCCGCCGGGGAAGCCCTAGGCGCATCAGCTCATGCGGCCACCATCAGAGACGTGCGGCGATGCGATCATTCCTCCGAGCCTTGAGGATATTAGGCACTCCAAGTGATGTGAGATCTCCGAGTCGTTGCATTGTAGTTCCGTGACCATTATCTAGTGTAGGGGGCAACCCTCACACATTGTAGTGTGCCGCACACTGCAATGTCACGGTGACGCGACATGTTCTGACGGTGCATTCGAGTTGCACAAAAGACACGACATAATTTGACATACGAGTATAGCCCAGAGGCAGATGAGGCATAGCTGCTGCTGCTTACCATCACTCTTTCATAGGCCAGGGTTAGCCCATACTACTCGAGTCTCAGCGCTCAGCCTGCAAGCAGGGGAACTTTATGTTGAAAGTGTGACACGAATTTCAACAGGTACGCACAACATTCAAGTTCATTTAAATCGTAGTCTCTTCAAATGTATAATGTGCAGCTGTCCGATGTCGTATTAGAACATAAATTCATGGAATTGATGGTCGTGGCTTGAGCTCCAAAGTTTGAAATACCCATCGTACTAATTTTGTACGTAAGTGCTGCTAATCGGATCAGGCGGTCGACTGCCAGTGGTCATGCAATGCATGGCCACTACCACTCTTCAAATTACCCTTGCCATCATGATCAATTCAAGTCGAAGCCGTTCTCCCCGTCATGTTCTTTTTCTCACATTCCAGGCCGTACATACCACTGAATCAGACACCACAGGAAGTCATTGACTCTTGAGAGTGATCATGAATCATGATGACGACCACAAAGCAAAAATTTCGCGAATTGTACACCATTGGCCTTTTGTCATCGTGATCTTCTGCACGCTCATCAACCTGTCGCTGGTCTTTCTCTAAGGCTCATTAGTATCCTCAGACAAACTATCACTCGAAAGAATATCTACCTTCTCCGTCGTCCTTCCTAATACATGCGGTTCGACGAGATCGCACGGACGTCGTCGCCTCCTACTATTCCGAGAGAGTTCACAAATTTCCCCATGTCTGTCAGCTTGGTGGATCGTTCTGTGCCAAGTCATATTTTCAATGACTGTCTTGCGATGCGCACGATACGTGCTGGCACAATCTCACCTGATGATCACAAAGTCCATGTTACACAAACTGTCGGTTTATCTTCCTTTTCTGTATTCTATAGACTGATGGAATGAAATATTTCAATTCAGGGCGATTGACTGGGGCATGGAAAATTGCGAATTGCACCTCGCCATTCTGCCTGTGGACCGACTCACTGCACTTGCTTTAAACCGCCTCAACGCCAGTGCACCAGTTGGCATTTCAACTCTATCGTTCAATGTCCGACTTCCACGGGTCGCAAAACTTGATAACATAGTGCTAGGGCAAGACAGCTTGAACTGGCACAGAAAACTTTCTTGTGCGATGAACGACATTCTTGTTTTCGAGTTAGGATGTTCGGAGGATGAACCAAGCGGTAGCTGCGATATAGAATGGTGGAAGGCTTACAAGGAGATTGAACCAGGTCAGTGCTTTGCCGCTCTGTGAAATCCGCTGACAGCATAATTGAACCTCTCGCTGTTTACATGATCCAGCGCTCCACTGTGTAACTTTACTTTCCTCGGATTCGGGTCATCGAGACGAAACATTTGGTTTATTCAACAGGTTAAAGCATCTAGTTACAATTTTACGCAATCCTACTTGCCATCAGCCATCTTACTCGTGTACTTGCGAATGTGGACCAATCCCATGAGTCAAACCACTTCCAGAGTGAGTCTATACAGTATTGAAACTTCGTCACAGCAGCTGAAATTTTTGCTTGACTTCGGCACTTTCAGTTTCAACTACATATTTCACTCAATTCTGCTTCATGCATTGTGGTCGTTCAACGTTCAACCTCGGAATGAGCATGAGAGATAAAATTATATTCAAACATTGTGTCCGAGTACGAATTTTGTGAGAGTGCTAACTACTATGGAGTGCTGATCGCACAGGAAGGGTTCCATGTCAACAGCTTATTTGCCTGCGGCGTAGCGCACATAAACGAGACATCTGCCAACGATCAGGTACGAACAGATTTGAAGATCTAAATGATTCTATGTGAACATCAAATGGTGAAGCTATTTTCCAAACTACTCACATGAGCGCTATGCACCCAAGCTATTCCGCATCGCCTTCTTGATCGGCGAGCATCATTACATCAAACCTGCTGATGCCCAAGCAAAACAGTGCAAAATGCTTGATGGAGATCAATATTTTTCGCAGTGGAAACAGAGAGCCGTAAGTATGTAACTGGACCATTACATCGAACCTGCTGTGGGCTACCATCAGGTAGTGCACACTGCATACGCTAATGTACTGATCTAGTCGTAGTAAGTCGACTCCAGTCATCTGCTGCGCATGCAGTCGCCATCAGAGCATTACGAGGTGAAGTGCGGTCGATTGAAATACATCTAGAATGATTTTTGACCAAATCAGTTAGGCAATGCTCAAGCGCTCAAGGGCGATGGCTGTTTGCTATGATTCATTATATGCACTCATGAACTAGTATTTAGAGGGTGTAACTTCCAATCTCACTTTCATCCTAAACATCATACCTCAGCGAAGAATATTATTAACATGACCGTACTTACCATCAACAAGCTCAGCTTCTATGTTCTATTCCTGTCAGTTTCCTTCACACAGATACTAGTGGTCAGTGCTGCACCGCTGGCTTCTGATGATGCGACTGACTTTGCCGCGGGTGGGTGGGTCCCGGCCATTATGTGAGGCTGGACTGACGAGTTTCTAGGGCCGGACCATCCTTTTTGAAACCTAAATACAGCTGGAGGTTGAAATTGAAGGACTGATCATTACATGGACACGTTGCGGATGACATTGGGGTAGAAGATGTATTTGCAAATAATTTTTGACCAAACCAGTTAGTACGGTAATAATAATACTTGAGTGCGATGGCTGTTTGTTATGCTTCCTCATGAACTGGTATTAAACTAGAGGTGTAACTCTCAATCTCACTTTAAAACCACGCATCCTAATAAACACCACACCTCGGCGAAAAATATCATTAACATGACATCAACAAACTCAGTTTCTATGTTCTACTCCTGTCAGTTGCCTTCGCACAGGTCCTAGTGGTCAGTACTAGTGCTGCAGAGAACGTGGATAGTGTGTGTGAGTGGGTCCCGGCGATTACTATGTGGAGCAGGATTGACGAGTTTCTAGACCCGCTCCATCCTTTTTGAAACCCTAAATACAGCTGAAGGGTTGAAGTTGATGCACGTGTGCACCCTGAAGCATCCGATTGGTTGCAGATGCAGCTTATGGTGCAGAGATCTACAAAGTTCAATATCATGTCTTTGCGTATCTTATCTTATCTTTGCTTAGTAGATTGACAACATCGCATTGATATACAGCTACTAGTACATTGTGAAATAAAATAAACTATCAAAAATCCGCGTGTGATGAATGATATCATTTGTTGTCTGAAAAACAGATTTGAAGATCTAAATGATTTTATGTGGGCACCAAATGGTGGGGTCATTTTCCAAACTACTGCACATGAGCGCTATGCACCCAAGCTATCGCGCACCGCCCTCTTGATCGGCGAGCATCATTACATTAAAATTCCTGATACCCAAGAAAAACAGTGCAGAATGCTTGGCGAAGATTAATATCCCCCGCAGTGGAAGAGAGATGGTGTTACTTATGCTTATGGCGATTAAATGCTCCCCAGGGAATTCTCAATAGAACTTGCTGTGGGCTACCGTCAGGTACTGCACACTGCATATTCCAATGTACTGGTATAGTCGTAGTAAGTCCGCTCCAGTCATCTGCATCTGCTGTGCATGCAGTCGTCATCAGAGCATTCACGAAGTGAAGTGTGACCAATTGAAATACATCTAGAAAGTATTTAGAGGGTGTAACTCCTGATCTCACTTTAAAACCACGCATCCTAAACACTACACCTCAGCGAAGAACATCATTAACATGACCGTGCTCAACATCAACAAACTCAGTTTCTATGTTCTACTCCTGTCAGTTGCCTTCGCGCAGGTCCTAGTGGTCAGTGCTGCAGAGAACAACAACCCGGATTCTGACGATGGGGATGTTATTAGTGAGTGGGCCCCGGCGATTATGTGGAGCAGGATTGACGGGTTTCTAGAGCCGTTCTATCCTTATTGAAACCTCAATACACCTGGAGGGTTGAAAGTTGACACAAAGAAGGACAGATCAGTATATGGACACGTTACGGATGACATTGGGAGTAGAAGAGTAGAATATGTATTCGCACGCACGGGATTGTTGGTTTATACTGGCTTCTCGAGATCTCCTGTTCATTACCCATATACAGTGATTCTGATAATGCAGGGCTAATTTGTTGGAGCGAGGCCTGCATGCGCGACAGCATCATGAGAGTGAGCCATGCCTTCGGTCGAAAATTCTGAGGAAGAAGTTGAGGGAATTAAATCTCACTGTCATTATCGCTGTTGCCTCGAGAGTGCACTGGGAGAATTTCGTGAACCAAGGATTAGGTACGAGCAATAAGGTGCGTCACGCACGTTCCTCGTCTCGACGATGAAGAAGTGGCAGAAGACAGCCTCGAAATACAGCCAGAAATTGTACACCAGCTGGAATAAACATTAAATGAATAAAAAATAGAGAGAAGGTTCACGTAGCACTTCCATAGTGAGTGTCGAATTTCGCAAGCCACCGTGGAGATTCGGGGACAAACTAGATCGACGAGACTTGTATCATGAATGAAATCCTTCAAATGCAGAACGAATTCTCGACATTCAACTGGCTGGCTGATATAGTGAAGGTGTCACGGATCTGCAAAGACGATCGGCTTAGTTTTCTGCTTTAAACTTAAGGCACAAATGTTCTGAGGTTGTCCTACAGTTTACGAGCCTCATGGACCGCTATTATAGTTAGTTCAAGTGAATGACGACAAGAAATTCGAGCTTGCCGGCACATGAGTACAGTTTGACCAATACGAAAAAGTAGATACACCTTCCGACCACTAGGATAATCAAATGCTTGATTCCAATACATCAAAGACAGCAGACCGTCGGTTCCACGTTTGATACATCATCTTGAAATCTATACAGACACGTACCCATCATGCTAACTGCGAAACAGGTGAGGATATATTTGTAAATGACTCAAGGTATAAGGCTCACCGTCATAAATATGTATGTGCCTGGGGTAAGCTAATTCAGTGTCAAACTTGCATGATGACGAGGCTTGATATTTCGTGTCATCAGAGCTCTCCTTCCTCGTGTTGGCTCTTGTGAAGAACATACGGGTGATCCTGTACCACGGTGTTGAATGGAGCATATGAGCATGGATTATAAGTAAAAAAGAGCGGATGACACTAAAATCTCAACATGTTCCGGCTAGGCCGCATTTAAAAATTTTCAGTATACGTCCTGTTGACATGATGCCGTCGTGCCTCGACTCACACTCGAAGATCTCAAAGCTTCGCGATTTGACCCTGCAGTACCACCAGCTAAACACATACCAACCAAGAAGCACAAGTAGTACTTGAGGCCGTCGGGCGATATTTGATTGTTGAGGCAACCCCTGGAGGACATCCAATATTTTCACACTCACAAGTGTTTAACAGCAGGCTTGTCGAAGCTACTAGGGGGATAGTGAGGACGAAGGCGAGGACAAATGATGCCTGATTTCTTGCCTTATTTGTCCAATATCAATGCAGCTCGTAGTACCATTCCATGACCGTTGCTTCGCGTTCGCACTCTGGCCCCTCGTAGATGGTGGGCGCTAGTCACAAGCTAGAGTCATACTCTCAATATTTGCCATCGCATTAGGCGACGACCATCCCCATTTACAGGGTAAGTACATACCTATTGTCATGCTACCTACGACCTTAGTAAAAAAGAGTCACCCGAAAAACCGGAGTGCTGAGTACATACGACATGGTCGATGATCGATGATCATGGAAAGCCGCTCGAGCTGAACTTGAGTCGACGTGCACCGTGCGGAGAAATCAATGCACATGACTTTCACGTGACCGTGTCTGGACGCACTAGTGGTCACATCAAACCAAAATCAAACCCATTTCACCAACTGCCACGATGATCAGCTCTCGCCCAATAGGTATAGCGTTTGAGGGCGACTACCGCCATTTGACGAAGACCCCAGGCAATAGAATGCTGAAATCACGAGGTGCACTCCAGGAGAATGTTGGCCGCCACGTACCCGTCACAGTCGATGGAAAAGCGAAGAAAGCTGCGTTGCAACAAGCTCCGTTTTACCCAAATACATTGCGTGAGCTATTTTTCTTTTAAGATCATGTTACCTGCTCTTACAAGGTACTGTAGAACCGCAGAAGATCCTGAAAGGTCATGATGGACCAACCAAATCCAAGGGAAAGGAACCGGTCATACTCGCACCCTCTCGACCTCTGGGCGACAAAACGCCCTTTCCTAACCGCGTTGCCAACCATGCCACACCATTGCAAATGACAAAGCCCATTTTTGATGTCACACCCGGTGCACTTCTTCGCCCAAGTTCCGCACGAAAACATGTTAGACTTCCCCGCAGCGCCAGCAACAGCTTTCAGACACCACTTACTGGTGGAAACCACTGGGATGTTAGTGATATAGACATTAATCCAGAGGTCGTAGCGGCGCCCAATCAATCGATTGAAGAAGAAGACTACGATGAAATCGAGTACATGCCTCCGAAGCTACCTGGTGGGTAACCTTGCCAAACGCTTTCTTCTGCTAATGTATCAACGCGTGTAGAAATGCCATACGAACCTCCATTTGAACTTCCGGATTATAAAGAAGTCGGGAGAACCCTCCTCGCTCTTACCTACTCCTACCCGATCGACGATATACCGACACATGTTACATCCATGGAATTCACGTCAGCTGAACCTGACGACAATTTTTTTGCCCTAGGCAAATTATCTCTCCCCCATCTCGGTAAGCTAATGTTATATAACGTCTATTCTGATCTTGACTTCTGTGCGTACAATCAGATGATGATAGTCTATTCTCGCAGGCCAATTCTGCACCGAAGCCTGGGCCCGAGGTGGCTCGAGTTCCTCCGTCATCGAAGAACACTACTCGCTCAACTCGAGTTACAGCATCGAGAACTATTCGCGCCGCATCCGCAGTAGGTCATTCGACTACGGCTGATACCTCCCGTCCAAGATCTGGCCCACAAACTGTTTCTCGTCCTGCCGTTACGCGTCCAGGTATGACAACTTCCAAGCCAGCGACCCGCGCAACATCGAGTGCCACGGTCGTGAGGGGAAATACGTCTAGAACACCCTTAACGCGTGCGCCCTCGACAACTGTATCTCGAGCGCCTTCCACCACCGTGATGACGAGGACGCGTCCCGCAAGTGCATTAGCCACTGGTATCAAACCCCAAGCAGGTCCGGCAAGTGGGAAATTTGGAGCGCAACTGAGGGCAAGTGCACATGTGAAGAGTGGTATGTCGACGAAGAAGACAGTTCAAGAAATCGGGATTGTCTTTGGGGATAGTTTGCAAGAAGAAGAATTTAGGTTTAGCGTCTAAGTTTGTGAATTTTTGCTTAGATTCCGTACACAATACAAATTAGTTTACTGTCTACATGTAAACATAACTTAAGTTGTATGCTAGTTGTATCATAGCCCATCGTCTTGAAGCACACGGGGTGGCTTTCTATCGATCTAGTCCGTCCGCGTCAAGATTTGACATTCAAAAATATTCTGATTGCACAGTGAAAATACATGGATAGATTACAAGATAAGTGATAAAAGGGCTTGTCGCTACCGCTGCAGTGAGGTATGCGCATGTGCATGATGCTTCAACGTCGGGTATGGCGTGCGACAGAAGGTTTCGTATACTTGATTCAACGTCAGAGAGGGAAATCAGCATTGGTATGAACTTGTGGTGCTACTCATGAAAGAGAAAGAGGGTCAAAATCAGTCAGCTCTGCGATGCATTCCGTCAGAAAGTCGAGGTCCCACTCCATCTCCGCGGGTGGCCTGTCCGTGCTTTTGCCTGCCATGTGCATCTTGTGCGACATCCACAAAGAGACTTGGCTAGCGGTAGCTCGAAGCTTTGGATCTTGGTGCCACAAATTCTGAATGAAATCCCACATGTCATCATCCAGTCCTCGTTGAAGGCACACGTTATTCGTAGGACGTGAGGGACGGCTTCCCTTCATGAAATTCGTATCCACTGCCTGTGGGGATAAGTCCCAGAATGGACGTAATCCATCATACATCTAGAAAGAGATCAGTTCATGGTTGAGCATCATGACGGGAAACCGTACCTCGTAACATATGCAGCCAAATGCGAAAATATCACATGGACGTCTATCCAGGGCTGATAACAGACGTGGATTTGCACGTGCCTCCAGAAGTTCAGGCGCCATGAAAGAGGGGGTTCCCGCAACAGAGATTATGTTGGTCTGAAGCTGTGCTTGAGAGTCTTGCGTGGTTGCAAGGCCGAAGTCGGCCAAACACGCACGTCCGGAGGAGGAAACCAGAATGTTGGCCTTATAACAAATCTTCAGTGGCGTTCTCAGCGATCAAAACACCCACATACCCCTTTCAAGTCACCATGCACAATTGTAGGTTGCATCCCATGGAGGTATTCGAGACCTCGCGCGATATCCAATATCTGACCATTTCAGTAAGCATTGGAAGCCAGAACTCTATCACTGACCAGAGGTGCACGATCGGCATCAGTTCGTTGTAAATACGCGTTCAAATGGCCATTCTTCATCCAAGGAGACACCAGACAGGTCTTAGGTGCACCATCATTAAGATGGAATACGCCGTAAAATGGCAGGCAGCAGTCATGCTGGATGTGACACCAAACAACTGCCTCATTCGAGAAATCCTACAGTCAGTCATGTTATCGAAGTTTCCTGGGTGCGACAAGATTCATACTAACCTTCAGAAACTGCTCGGTGGTGCGGCCGACAGCCTGAATCTCTTTCACGGCTACCAAACGACCAAGGAGTTCACCTTTAGAGATTACTCCAGACCCACCACGGAGGCTGGTTGGCTCCAGGTTTTCGATTCGACGAAGCTGCAGGCTCTGAGGGAAATGGCCTGACCTCCTCGACAGTCGGATGATAGTATCCAAGAACCGACATTTGTACCATTCTTCTAATTGGTCTGACTTCATTACGAGTAACTACAAGCAAATAAGCAACGAAGGCGTCGAAAATGTGTCGGCCTTACCGTCTGCAGTAAGTCCAGCATAGACTGGGCCTTATCGTCTTTGAGCGTGACTAGCTGAGAAGTAGCGTGTGAGTCGGTTGAACAACTGGCAATCAAAGCCCCAGTGTCTTGAATGTCTAGCGCATGTAGTCTGGACTGGCTGGTAAGAGATCGGTTACAGATGTGCAGCTTCACTTGAGCCTGAACAAGATGAGCTGAACCAAACTCGACACATAACAAGGGAGGGAAAGTACTGACCTGGCTCATTAGTCCAGACAACGCGTCCTTGATGGCCTTGAAATTTACAAGACACCACATCTTGTCCCGTGATATCCACTCTCTTCTCATATTCTCCAGGTCAATCAGCAGGCTACAGCAACGTTAGATTAAACAATGTAGACAGATCTTGCATGTACTTCGGCTTGTCGGAGGCACAAAGATTAAGGTGCGTAAACACATGCGCGTACAGAGTCTATCCGTAGACACTATCAGACCCGCTGCGTAACTTCATAACGAAGGTCTCACTGACCGGAAAAATGGGCATGCACCGCACCCCTTTGATGCATACCTGTCTCGCTGCTGCATCCAAGCCCTCGAATTCATCCACCAAATCCTGGACCTGAAACCTCACTGAGTTGCGAAGATGCTGTGTAGAGGTATGGGGAGAGTCCGTTCGGTGGTTACGGGATAGCGCAATGTCGTCAATGGTCGTTGGTGCAGGAGGCCGAACAGGATTCTGCTGCTGCCAAACAGAAAACTGTGTAGTTGGAATCGTACTCAGCGAAAGATCGGATTCTGTGCTCAGTGTATTGCTCGATTCAGACGGAGTGCTTGTCGAGTTGACTTTGGGCGATGGAGGAGAAGCTGGCGGTCGGTGCAGATCATCACGGCGACCCAAGTTCCTGGCACGCGGCGCCCTGGAATCACTTATAAAAACGTGCTTCTCTCGAATATGATGGGGTAGTTCCCATCTCGGCATAACTTTATGACATTGAAGGCATTCCATCGAGCGTATTGGCGCGAACCGTGACACCGACATAATACAGGAGGAAAGACTATCTTCGTTCTATATGGTCTGGTCACGGGAGACTTTGTCACTGAAGGAAGACGGAGAAATTTGATAGTCTAGTTTGAGCACTTTGGAGTGCTTTATATGGCTGTAGAGCTGAGACCGCCTGAGCGTCAATTACTTACAACAATAAGTATAAGCACACAGATCGCACTGCAGTTGAAAAATTGGAATGGACACGTGTCGCAGTTGCGTCGAAACTGGAGTGGCACAAGCTGAAGCGCAGACAATACAAGCAAGACAATAACATGTACAGGAACTAGTGTCGAAGAGCATCGATCTTCATGCATATAACCGTCGGTTAAACCACTGAGCGGCGGTTTCCGAGTAGTCCGGAATTTACCGAGCCACATAAGTTCGCGCCCAAATTTTTTATTCTTACAACCTCGCCGATTCCTTATCACTCTTCCACTTCTACTCATGAGGAAGGGACATTATTCTTCGGCGTAGAAGGATTTCTACAGCTTCACTTTCGCTAGCAGCGCTATGCCTTTTGTTTTGTACATTTGGCGATGATGGTCTTCTAGATAGTGGTGAAAGCTACAAAAGTATGAAACTGAATCTATATATTACCCATTTCTATTGCACACCCGTCTTGGAAGGTCACCGCTATTCGTTCGTTCAACTTCGTTGCGGTCCTTATCATGTTAGCTGGACTCGCGGATCATGCTTTCGAGGATGATTGCCTGCCAGAAACTGAGCTCATTCGAACACCAAACATGGGAGCCAGAACATACGCCGTGACGGTAAATTTGAGCGATGTGAAGACGATGGTCAGCCTCACGACATTGCCAACAAGTTCGGCCCATCCTCGCTCGTCGAGGATGACCATACCATCATCGTCATCGCCATGTTGTCGATAGAATCGACCATAAATCGTGACCTCGGGCTTGTATCGAAACTCAGATATCCACCAGTCTTCCTTCGTGGCAAATCTGGTGATGAACATATCGACTGCTTTCTGCAATTGGTTCAGATCATGAAAAGGTCTGGACGAGGGGGCGCTTGCCCTGTAGCTCATAGCTTGCAGCGCTGCTCTTCCAAACGCACGTTTGTCGTCTCTGCAAGTAACAATTATCTGCGGAGGGATTGCCATCGCAGTAGCAACAAATTCATGTAGCGTGTGTAAAGCAGAGACAACATCACTAGGCAGGGCTGTTGGAGCTTGGGAGGACTGATGAGCAGATTCCATCCGACTCATGGTAATATCCACAAACAAATAGAAAACGGCAGTATGGCGGCTTGGGCCGCTTGGCTACGGGTTCACCACGCTGTGAATAAGATGCACATCTGAGTTATTTAGCGCAGGAACGAGGCGTGAAGCGCCTGACCACCGGTCATTTTTTCCTTTCGAATTCGAATTTTTATACGTGATTGACGTTTTTCCACTAGAATTTCTAGTTCAAACACTGAATTCCGGTTCTGCTTGTTCTCTGCCTCCATAGGCCTTCCACTTGATTGTTGCGTTTATGGAAAGGAACTAGAACTTCGAGTCACGGCAACCGAATTCAAACGCTTTCCCTGTTCTAAGTAATAACTGCTTTCCGCTACTTCAACTGTCAAAATTTTGCCGCTGTGTTTGAGGAAAGAACTGGACGTTCAAGTTGAAGGAGACACGGCAAACCTGGGATCCCCGGTATATGAGTCAGTGTTCAAGTTTACACGTCAACAACAACATCGTTCAACCATTCAGAACCATTCAGCGCATACTCCAAGGAGTTTCCTTGCGACTTCCTCGGTAACCCGCGGCACAAGCAGAGCCGATCTTGGGTCACCATCGAGTCTGCCCTGGAATCTAGGGCACTCGTTCAGTCTTACATAGAAGTCTCGTTGGTACTCGTCCTCAGCACGAAACATTCGGAACACACATCCGCCTGGTTGTCCCTGATGCGCGAGATTCGGATTCTGTCTACCTGTGCAAGCGCTTCTGCTTAAACAGATTTTGCCCGCTTTCCCAAGCAACAGACTGAATTGAACTCCTGTGGGGCGGCGAGTAGGCAGCCGCTCCGGAAATAGTGGGGTCGACGGTGACATGTTTAGATTGTTCTGACCCTGTATCGGCAAAGGCAGGCGAATAGTATGCCACTTCTCCCTAGCATTCTCCCCTCTTTGCTGGAAGAGTTTCTTCAGGGAATAAAAGAGGAGTGTCGCGTGCGGCACACGATCGACAAGCCTTTCCCAAGTCTCATCGATGATTTAACAGAACAGATTCCCTCACCAAAACCCTGTTAGCTATTCAGATCTCTTGGGATCAAGCCAGTATGTTTTTTCATCTTCTCGAAGCACATCTCACAGCATTCCAGATATATGACCCCACACTATGCTGATATGACAAGGCTTCTATGTATATCCAGGGATTCACCCTTACTTAGTTGTGTGATGATCTCACTACGTGGCACTCCGATC